GTGCCAAAGCTGATGGCAAGACCATTCTAACAGGCCTCCAGTCCATTTTCCAGGAGCACGGGATGGCGAGGTCAGTGCACACCTGGCAGGACCGTGGCTATTTAGCAATCTACAAATGGAAACACAAAAACAGCATCTTTGCCAATTTGAGAATTTACCTACATGGATTGATGTTGCTGGACCTTCAGAGTTACAATGATGACCTGCAGGGCAAAGAAGAGATCGACAGCCTTTCGAACAAAGTAGAAAAAAGAATGAAAGAATTGAGTCAAGACAGTACTGGGCTGGTGAAGCCGTTACCACCTGTAGTCTGAAGAGGGGCCATCAACAGATATTGGTCCACCACCAATGGGCGCCTGGTCGAATATGACATAGATGAAGTGGTGTATAATGAAGATTCACCTTATCAGAACATTAAAATTCTACACTAGAAGCAATTTGGAAATATTCTCATCCTTAGTAGGGATGTTGATTTGGCAGAGTGATTTGCATATACCTGGGCCATCATGGGCAGCAGCAAAGCAGATTGCACTGGCAAAGAGGTACTGACTCTCAGAGGCTGAGATGGGGGCATATTATGTGAAACAGTCACACTAAAATCAAAGATAGTCACTGTGGTAAAGATTGACCAAATGGTGATTGATGGATGTAAGAAATATATGCAAAACACATGTGGTGATGTTGTAGACAATCTGAAAGGAGACTGCTATCAGGCTCTGATAGAAGACTGTATTCCAATACTGAAGAGGCACACCAGAGAAGGGAGAGAATTGGATTATGTGACTAATGATTTGACAGCTGTTCCAATATCCACATCTCCGGAACAAGATTCCACGTGGGAGTTTCTCGGACTGATTTTTGACCCCTCAATGAATGTATTGAAATAGGATGGGAAATATTTTACACGTGGGAACTGTGTCAATCTGACAGAAGCCCTGCCACCCTTCGAAGAACAGCTTGGGTGCCTGCATTGCCTTGTGGAATTCTCAAAGGAGATCATCTATGTCCCTTCAAACTTCGAATTGTGGGTATTTCACACTGTCTGGAAGAAAGCTAAACCTTGAAGATGAATATCCCTTAATCACAAGTGCTGCAAATGGCCTTTTTCACTTCCATATGCTGTACATGACATTGAAACAAGTCAGGCAATTGATTGTGAATTCCTTGAAGTTTTCTTTTTAATTATTATTTTTAATTTTAAAAAGCAAATGGCAAATGTATATTTTGATGAGCTTAGGGTGTTATTTTTTTGAAAGCCAGCTGAAGGATGGTTCGACAGCACAGTAAAGACTGCCAAATGTCCTAACACCCTAGAATGTGATTTTTGTTACTTTTTATTTCTCCGTGGGCTTTTTTTTGTTTTGGTTATGATAGACTTTCAATGTGGATTTTTGGAGGAATGAACATCATTGTTTTGTTCCGAAGGGAAGTTTTTGGTGGTGTTTCTTTCCCCCAATATTGACTTAGATATTAAAATGTGGTGCTTATAAGAGAGAATTTAAAAAAATGAATAGTAATATCTCGATTAAAATTACAGAAGAGCCAAAAAATAGTTTTGAGTGTTGTGGAAGCTGAGTGTTGGATTAAGAAGAGTAGGTGTCTGCACTTTTCTATAGACTCCTGATGATGAGGAGGAGAAGTGGAGAGCTGTACAAACTTGGTCCAACAGTATGGGGCTCTCTTCAGACCTCTGCTGTGGAAGCCAGGTGTAACTCTGACTTTCCAGAGCATCTTACAAAACCAATTCTCCAAAGCACAGCCTTTGGAAAACCTTGCCCTGACTACTAAAAGAGGAAGAGTGACTAACATTTATTCTATACCCATTATGTACTAGGCACTGTGCTTCTTGTGTATATTATAAAATATAGCCACTATAGCATCTGTACTTAGTGTGAATTATTTTTATCAAAACCACTTTGCTGATGCAAAAACAGACTTCTCATGCTCATTAGGTGTCTTTCACAGCTTGTGTTTTAGCATCACAGGAAGATACTCTGCATTGAGGAACAAAAGTCCTGATGTGTAGGAGGGCAATGACTTTAGAGCACTGGGATTCTGTGGGGATTGGGGGGTGTACCCCTTTTCCCTCCATCTGCTTCTACAAGACAAGTGTTTTCAGAAAAGAGAAAACATTTCATTATAATGACAGCGTGAATAAAACTAGTCTGAGTGCTGGATCCAAGGGGCCTGGAGCCAAGGTGTGTGCCAGGCAGGACCCTAGAACCAGAACTGCTTTAGAGGGCAAGTCCAGGAACCAGGGCACAACATCATCATGACAAAGTGTTTCTTATCCTCCAAAGACACAACGTTAAAATAGCCTTTTCCAGTGCAACCTGGTCTTAAATGGGATGTTTCCTGCAAACACACAATCAGGGATTTTCCTAAAGGAGCTGTTACCTTCAAATGCATCAAGACACGAAAATCCAGAGGTAGAAAAATCAATCCACTTTAAAAATATATATATCTTCCATGGACAAGATAGGAGAATGATTTAAGGATGATACAGCATAGCATGAAGAACGTTGATCGCTTTTAAGTTTTGTTTCATGGTTTTCTGAACTTCTGTCACTTGGAGAAACAATCCATTATTCAGCAACAGTTTGGGGGAGGTTCTCAAAAAGGTACCCGTGTGAGAACTCAGTGAATTGCCAGCACATTTTGCAGTTGGAAGCTCAAATTTTTATACATAACATGTGGGGAATCCATATAGGATTTGTTATTTTTAAATTTCACAATTGTATTTCCAATGCTGGATTCATAGGCACTTCCTTGTCATAGTAGCAGCACATTAATTTTAGCCTAAATAATTATTTAAATTATTTAACTATTTAAATTATTTAACTATTTAAATAATTATTTTACTAAGAAGAATCCACGAAATGAAAATGAGCACGTTCACTAATTTTCATGTTGCCTGACCATCTCATAGCACCGCCTACGGTCACAGACTGCAAAGCCTCTCACCAGAACAAGAAAGACCGAGCAAGGAAGTGTAGGTTCAACAGCACATGAGAACCATAACTTACAGTTCCAGAGTGTCTGAACCAGAAAGGAGAGAAAATGAGAGACCAAGAGTTGTCTCCATTTTCTTCTCTTCACAGTATCCTGCATAGTGGCACAAATCGAATTGGAAAGCCCAAGTTAACACCGCCCTGGGCGAACGGCCTGGCTCCACCGGCTCCTCCGTGCAGGAGGTTCCAGCCTGGGGATGCCTGATAGCTCTCCTTCCCTGGCGCCTGCATTATACATGTAACATTTATATTTCTATCCACACAGCGTTCATTCAGCCATCCATTCAATCACCCAGGCATATTTACACGTATGGAACACATTCGCGGAGAGATGTGTGTGTTTGAGTTCCAACCACTGCAGCCCGTACTGGCGCCGCGCTTTGTCTCGCTTTGGGTCACCACCACAAGAGCCACGATTTCGCGGAAGGCACACGCCTGTGTGACCGCTTCCCACTCCACATGGGTTCCGTGACAGCGCGGAGCTGGAGGAGTCAGGGACGTGGGGATGCCCTACTTCCCGCAGCATCCGGATGGCAGGGTCCGCGTCGGAAGGCCTGGGAGGGCGACGCCCTCCGATGGTGCCGCTGGGTGGGTGCGCCAGGCCTGGGTGTGGCCTCGCGGAGCGAGTTTCTCTCCACCGCTTTGGAACAGTGAAGCGCGAGTTGGGGTCTCCTGCACGCCAAAGGGAGACATGTTTGTTTCTGACAATACAAGCAAAATTCTCATTCTCATTCTTTCTTTCTCTCTCTCTCTCTCCCTCCCCCCCCCTCCTTCTCTCCCTCCCTCTCTCCCTCCTCCCTCTCTCTCATATTTGGTTGTTTCCCCGCTAAGGGGCCACTTTCAATGTCTGCCTGCGAGCCCAGCTGTCTGGCCCTATCTAGCATTGGGGAGACACTAGACTTAACCTAGCGAAGTTTTCTTCTGCTTGCTCTTGCTGTGCCCAAGTTTCCTCTGGACTTGTCTGCCAGCGTCGGGGTGGGGGCTGGGGGAAATAGGCAATCTAGCTCTGCCTGGTTGATCCCTGGAAGCCAACTTGAAGTAACAAGTCAGTCCCAGGCCCAGAAATAGAATACAAACCCTCTTTTTGTCCGGTGCTAACAGAGTCCAGCAGTCAGAAATCCCTGGCGTCTCACGCTGGACCTGACCCGGGTCGCCGCCAATTGCGCAACGGACAGTCACAGTTGGTGACCAATTAAGGACTGCCGCCCCCCTCCTTCACCTGCTACTAACTCAGAGCCCTGACTTCTCCAGAAGTACCTACCACTTGCAAGTGGCTCTCTTTCCCCGCCCCCTGCCCCAGTCCCGCACCTCAGCAGCGCCTCACCACCGCGACTTGCCGGAGCACCGCGAGTGGCGCGCGGCGCCCGCCTCCCCCGCGCGCCGTGACACCCTGCGCACCGCTGGTACTCTCGCCACGCCGCCGCCCGGCACTGCAGCACCGGGGGGAGGAGGGAGGCGGAGGAGGGGAGGAGGACCGCAGCGTGCAAGCCAGGAGTCACTTTCCCGCCCCTCCTCTCGCCGCTGACACACTCAGAGGAGTCACCACTCTGCGCGCTGCAGGCGAGAGTGGCAGACGGAGGCGGCCCGGGGAAGCGAGCCGGAGCGGTGCCCGCACGGAGGCGGCTGCAGTGCTGACACCACTCAGGAAAAGGGTCTCCGACGGCTGGAGCGGTGAGTGGGGGAGGCGAAGCGGGCATCCCCGGGGAGACTTCCCCGGCTGCTGGATTTCTCTTCCCGACCGGTGGCCGGGCGCTACAGCCTGGGGAAGTTTTTGCAACCTTTCAGAAGCGCAACTTTGCCCCGCCTGCCCCGGGGGAAACGGCTGCAGGTGCCCGCTTCTGGGTAGGCGCCTTTGTTGAGGAAGGACCGGGAAAGTCGGGGTAAAATAGATGCAGTGGCCCCCGGGTTCGCTAGGGTAGGTCTGGGGACTGGGTCGCACTTTCTCTGGGATTCCCAGGGGAGGTGGGTGGGCAGCAGAGGCGATGCAGGCGCCGCGTCTGCAGCGACCGCCAAGCTCTTTTTTGCTTGTGAGGTTTGACGGGCAGGGTACCTGGACCTATACCTTTATAGCAGCTTTAGGCTCAACTTTTCGGCGGGGATCCCTCTGCAGACGTGCGGGTGGCGGGAGAGCAGAGGCAGCTGCAGTAAGTGCTGAGAGAGCCTGAAAGAAACACCATGAATTTTCAAACTCTCCCACATGCATTCCCGAAGCGCCTGTCTAGCGTCTAAGCGAGAGCAAGAGAGGGCTGGAGAGCAGGGGAGTCTGCGGGGCTGAGGCTCTTTGTCAGCCGCCTGCACTTCCTACACAACGCCTTCATTCAGCAAAAACCTATTGGGCGCCTACTGTGCGCCAGGCGAGGCGAAGCAGACCCAAGGCTGTGAAGCTCAGAGGGGAAAGGGACCGATCCCAGTAAATAAGCTACCGAGGTAATCTTAGATGGCAATGAGGGTAGTGAAGGCCATTAGCCGACCCTCTGACCCTTTCTCTTAGTGGGCTTCTTCCCCTCCGCCTGGGTTCTAGAACTGGGAAGACTTTTCTCCAGAGCGTCGCGGGGAGCGCCCCGAGCTGAGTCCAGGGGGACTGCGGAATACGGGGATGAACTTGGCTTGGGGCAGCCAGCACCCCGCGACAGATGAACAATCGGGAGCAGATCTGTGGGCGTGCGGGGACCTTAGGCGGCGCGCGGGGGCGGAGGGGGAGGGGCTGAGTCACGGGGGCTGGAGGTGCCGCCTGGACGGCCTGAGCTGGGGGCGCTCGCGTCACCTGCTACGTGTGCCAGTGATGCAAATGCAGACCCGCGAGGGGCGGGCGGGGGTGGCGGGTGGGGGCAGGAGACGGAGTCTCCGTCTGGGAGCGCGCGTGTGTGCGTCAAAGGCTCTAGGTTGATGGATGCCCCGCGGCGCGCCTGGCGCGGACAGCGGCCACACGGCGGGGCCGCGGGGGGCGGGCGGACTGCGGCGGCGCGGGGCGGCAAGGAAAGCCCCGCACGGCCCGGGCGGGCTGGCAGGCGGCTCCGCAGTGCGCCGCAGTGCTGGGAAGGCGCCGCAGCTACCGGGCACTCCCCGGGGTACCGAGGAGATGGGGCGTCTTTTAAAGCTCCGAGACCGGGATGCCTGATGGTCTCCTCTCCCGCTGAACCTACTCCCTTCCTACTTAGCTGACTGTTAGCGCGGTAGCTTCCGTTTAATTCTTATCCTTAATTCTGAAGAATGTGGCATGGATCTCTTAGGCGTTCACTCATTTTCCATGGCAAGTTCCGAAAGGCCTCGTGCTGGTGGGCAAGTTTTCATGTGAACGCCTAGGTGTTGAGGTTCGTGAGGTTCTGTAGTGCCAACCCGTTGCGCCACCATTCTTCAGGATTTTTGGCAGGAGGCCTGGCCTCTAAGTGAGGTTTAAGAATGTCTTACAAAACAATGTGCCGCATTCCTCTTTCATAGCATAAAATACGCGTTAAAAACACTACTGATAATGCATTCTCTGGTGGAAAATAATAAATCAAAACCACGATCCATTCTATTCTTTCTTTAAAGACCACTTTCTGGAAACCCAATGACAAAGTTTTTCTACTGGCTTTACTGAAGGAGCCCAAATCTTCAGTGTGTAGGCAAAATGAATGAAAGGGGGCTGGGTTGGGAAAGAAGGAAGGAAGGGAGGGAGGAAGAAAAGCAGTTATCAAGGAACCCAGAAACACAGATGCTAGTCACCATTTCCCCAAATATTGTGTTATGTCACCTTGGGCAGGTTACGTAGCCTCTTGGGTTCATCTTCCACCTTTGAGAAATGTGAAAAATAGCTTATACTAGCTTTTATGTACCTTACAGGGTTGTTTTGAAGACAAAAGAGATAGTCTCAGAGAGCTTTGGCTTTGGAAATACAAATTCAATACGAATGGAAAATATTAGCAAAGCCCCTACACACACACACACACACACACGCACACACACGCACAAACAACTTTATCTTTTAAAAAATTCTAGAGACCTTTCCCAGCGTTGTTTTTTTTAAATGAAATTTGGCCCTCGATGTGAGCAAATGCAGACAATAGACTTTTCCTAACAGTCTAATGTACAATCAAATGCCATTAGCTGCTGACTGTCTGGAGAAGGAAAAAAAGAAGCTCTGGATCACATTTGGGTGTTTTGTTCACGTAGTGGAGAAATGAGATTTATTTTTCATGACCCAATGACAATGAAAGTAGCTTCTCTGATCTGAGCAGCAGACTGGCCTAAGAGCTTGTAGTAAAAATCCTATTCATTATTAACCCTATCATATTCCTTAAGTGTGGAAATGCTTCAAATAATAGGATCCAGTTCCCAATCTCCAGGAGATTACGGCAAAGGCATCATAATGTGCAATATATCACGTGATGACAAGTACCAGAAAACCCATTTCCTATAATTAGGAGTGTTAGCTCTTATTCTTAAGTAAACTTGATGACATATTGTATGAATAAAAACATGTGATTTGTCAAAATGCCTCCTTAACCAGCCCACTGTTGTTATTCATATTACTCCATATAATGCTAGATTTCTGTGAGTAGTGAAAGCAAAATATCTCTTATTCTGTGCAGCTATATCAGGGGAAAACCTTCAATTCACCAGCATATTTCTTGGTTCCATGTTGGTGAGGTTCGTGTTTGACTGTGGTTCACAGCATACATATTATTCTCCATTTAAACACAAACTCATAGTTTCAATGAAGTCTGTTTGTAAATCCAGGAAAGGCAGCCCCTGGCAGGTGTATATAGTTGTGATGCAACATTACCACATTGTTTTTGCTTTTGCTTTGCTTTTTCAATCTCTGCACAGTTGAGCAACCAGTGTAAAATGTTGCAGTGGTTTGAATTTGGAGGTTTTTTCTTTATTTGAGACAGCTGAGAATAACAATGGGAATGAAGTTACGATTTTAATTCTTGCTAGAAATATGTCTTAATGGGATACTAAAATACAATTTTATTTTACCACAACCCCTCCTAATTAGGGACAGCAGCAGTATTTGCACTTCAGGATGGCTTCCCTATTGAGAAGAATTGAACAAAATTAAATAAATGGACAGGATGTATTGGATGATTTGGTCCTTTCTAGTTCTAATGTTCTTTCTCTCCAGGAAATAGAGAAATATATGATGAGTTATATTTTAAGTTTGAACTTTGCTTATAAGTAGTATAGAAAATGTGTTTTTAAAAATTAACTCAGGTTAAAATTTTACATGAAGCTATAGGCTCTGTTTTTGTAGATAGATGGTCCATTAGATTTTGTATTATGCCATTAGATGTATGAATTAAAACAATTTTAGGGATCAAATTTGAAAAATAATTCCTGCTTAATATAAAGAAAATACTCAGATCATTTTAGTATGACGTTTAAAATATTTTCTGTTGACCGCCTAATGCCTATTATGCTTGCTACATCTTTTCCCATAGATAGTATATAATACAAATGATTAAGACTGGACACTATAGGGATGGCCTTCAGTCTTCTGACAACCTTGGACCCTCTTACAAGTCAAGAGTACAGTGAGATTCATGACAGGTGAAACCAAGAGCTTTCTCTTATCATTTTCCACTATTTGAAAATCCTAGAATCCTAGAGTAGCCAAATAGAGTGATTCTCAAATAGTTGTGTATATCATATTTTCCTGGGGAACTTGTTTAAGTGGGAATTTCTGAGTCCCATTCTAGACATTCTAAGTTAATGGTTCCATGGTTGGGCCCAGAATGTGCTGTTTATCAAGCTCTGCCAAGTGAGTTGGATATTATCATTAGGGGAACCATATATGCAGATGCACTTGAACTATTTCTAGATAGCATAGCAAGAACCAGAATGCATGGACTTTCTACGCTTTGTTTTCCTCTTTAATATTTACCAAGTATCTGCTGGAAGCCCTCAGTGAAATACTATTCTGTTTTGCGAGACAGATGTAAAGAGGACTAACTTCTTTGGTAAAAGTCATAGGAGTGAGTGGCATGGGTGGTTGGGAACGACTCCATGGAGACAGTTACATATTTGGTATCAAAGAAGGGAAGGGCATTGGCAGAAGGAACATTGTAATGACAGGTCAGTTGAGTGCAATAAAGGCTGAACACCTTTGCATGGCCTTCAAAGCCCTAGGTGGTCTGGCCTCTGCTCACTTCTGCAGCCTCATTTTACATGAGCCCCAAACCACTTCCATCCCCAGTAACCTTCAATCATCAGTCTCCTTCTGCAACCTGCCCCAGCTTACCTCTACCATATTAACTCCTTATGCTCTTCAGATTTCAATCCAGCCTCTAAGTCTCTGTAGTGAGGTTACTTTTAATACAGTGCACTTTTCCTCATAAAGTTATCAGAGAAAATATAAGATGCTCAGTTAAATTTGAATTTAGATAAACAATAAAATTTTTTAAGTATAAATATGTCTCAAATATTGCATGGGACATTGTCCTAATCCCTTCCAGCTGCTATAACAAAATATTTTAGACTGGCTAATTTATAAACAATGGAAATTTATTGCTCACAATTCTGGAGGCTGGGAATTCCAAGATTAAGTTCCCAGAAGATTTGGTGTCTGGCCAAGGCCTGTTCCTCATAAATGTCCTCACATGGAAGGGGCAAGGCACCTCCCTTCAACCTCTTTGATAAGAGCACTAATCCCATTCATGAGGGTGGAACCCTCGTGACTTATTTCCCAAAAGGCCTCACCTCTTAATACTATCACTTTGGGGATTAAGTTCCAACATATGAATTTGAGAGGGACACCAGCTTTCAGACCATGGCAGACATACTTACACTAAAACATTATTTGTTGTTTATTGAACACTTAAAATTATCTGAGTGTCCTACATTTTTATTTGCCAAATCTAGCAATCCTGTTTATGAAGCTCACTAATTTTACAATTTCTTTTTTAAAAAATGAGATTCTTTCATTAATGCCACTCGCCTTTTACTAATCTACAAACCCTAGGAGACTGAGGACAGGATTAGGGATACATTGGTCTTATATTAATCTTGCTGATTTGTCCTTCATGTTTGAAATAGTATCTGGAGCATGGTAGGAGCTCAAGAATTATTGTCAAATGAATTAATGACGTGTTAGAGAAAAACAGTGTAACCATGAACAAGTTTCTTTTTTTAATTTTAATTTTAATTTTACGTTCCAGGATACATGTGCAGGATGTGCAGGTTTGTTACATAGGTAAACATGTGCCATGGTGGTTTGCTGCACCTATCAAACCATCACGTAGGTATTAAGCCCAGAATGCATTAGCTATTTTTCCTAATGCTCTCCCTTCCTCCAGTCCCTCCCGGACAGGCCCCAGTGTGTATTGTTCCCCTCCCTGTGTCCATGTGTTCTCATTGTTCAGCTCCCACTTATAAGTGAGAACATGCAGTGTTTGGTGTTCTGTTCCTGCATTAGTTTGCTGAGGATAATGGCTTCTAGCACCATC